GCCATGCGCCAGACTTTCCGTTTGTGCAACGTCTCCCAATGGTCGATGTGGTGGAGCTTCATGAGGTGCTCTGCGCGTCGTGTCGCTCGCTGGATGTAGTCGAGCCATGGTTCCATTTCGTCTGCGATGGTGCTGTCTTCGCCGTCTTCGCTGTGCTTGCCAGGCGTGTCAGGTGCATCGCGCTATGATGGGTTGCTGTCTGCGTCGTCGCTAGTGCTGCTGGTGCGGTCTTCGTGGTCTTGTGCTTCGTTGTTCGCGCCGTCGAGATTGGGTCCCTGGCCGCTGTGAAGGCCGGCTTCTGTCGTTGTGCGTCTCCGTGGCGTTCTGATGATCATGCGAAGAATGCCTCGTTGTGTCCGTCGTAGATGCTGCCGTAGAGGCTCCGTGAAAGTCCACGTCTCTGCTCCGTATAACGCTGTTGGTGATGCAGTGCTGTTGAAAAGTCGGAGTCGGTGAGCAAGTGGATAGTGTTTGCTGGTCAGCTCCTGCTTGCGAGACGTGAATGATGCCCGTGCAGCTCGCGTGCGGTGGTGGATTTCTGTTTCCATCGGTTCGTGGAAGCTGATCATTTGGCCGAAGTATTTGATACTGCCCTCGTATGGAACGATTTCTATGACCATGTCTTGGAAGCGTGTTGTGCGTGAGCTCGCCCTTGCGGCCCTTCTCGTCTGGTCGCTCAGCATGTTGGTTTTGCTTGGGTCTAGTTCGAGCCCGTGTAGCCTCGTCGCGGGCGCAATGTCGTCAAGCATCGCTGTCAGGCGCGGGAGAGTTTGGCTGGTCAGAAGCACGTCGTCGGCGAAGCGTAGGTTGGTCAGCGTGGCGGTGCTCGCGAATCCCAATTCAACTCCCTTCATTTGTTGCTGACATTCGGAAACCAGCGGTCCAAGGATGTATCGTAGAAGAGCGTTGAAGAGTAGGGAGCTGAGTGGGTCTCCTTGCTTCGTGCCCCGCAGGAGGCTAAAGGGTCTGCTGCTGCAGTCTGTCCTCACCGTGGCTGTCTGTCCCTCATAGAGCTGTTGGAGTAGTGCGACGTATCCAGGTTGGACCCCTTGTGCCTTCAGTGCTGCCCGTTGTGCTCAACTGGACCGACAACTTTTTTGAAGTCAAGTGCTGCGACCCAAAGGTTTTGGCCCCATTCGTTTGCGCGCTCGCGCAATAAATGAAAGGTAAAGAGGTGGTCAGTGGTCGAGTGGCCTGGTCTGAAGCCCGCCTGGTCGGCAGTCTGGTGTGAGTCAAGCGTCGGTTGTAGCCTGTTGTGCAGTAGTCGGCTGATGAGCTTGTACAACAATGGTATCGTGCGAATGGGGCGTTCGTTTTGTGGAAGCGCGAGATCTCCACTTTTTGGTATGACTGTGATGACTGTGCTCTTCCAGCAGGCCGGCGGCGGGGCTTCGCGCTGCAGGACCGTGTTGTAGAGGTGGAGAAATGCACCTCTGAGTTCCTCTGTGCCTTCTTTGAGCATCTCTGCGCGGAAGCCTTTCGTGTCTGGGGCTTTACCAAGCCGGAGACATTTGATCGCCTTGTTTAGTTCTTTCGGAGTGAAGGGTGGGAGTCGGTGAATCTGCTGGTCGCTGGTCGGTCGTAGGTCTGCCAGTCTGTTGGCCGGCGGGCGGGGGTCGGTCTGCTGCTCTGCTGGTCAGCGGTCGGTCTGGCGTGCGGTTTGCTGCTTTGCCGGTCTGCTGGTCGGTCTGCTGGTCGGTCGGCGGGGTCGTCGTTCGGTCGTTGTGGGAGTCGGTGGGTCTGCTGGTCGGTCGGTGGTAGTCGGTCTGCCGGTCTCTTAGTCGGCGGTCGGTGGTCAGTCTGCTGATCTACTAGTTGGTCGGCCGGCGCGGCGTTCGGCATGTTGGTTTGCTGGTCTGCTGGTCGGTTTGCTGGCCGGTGTGCTGGCCAGTGGTCGGTTGGGTCGTCGTTCGGTCGTTGTGGGAGTCGGTGGGTCTGCTGGTCGGTCGGTGGTAGTCGGTCTGCTGTTCTGCTGGTCAGCGGTCGGTGGTCGGTCTGCTGGTCTGCTGGTTGGTCGGCCGGCGCGGCGTTCGGCCTGTTGGTTTGCCGGTCTGCTGGCCGGTCTGCTGGTCGGTGGTCGGTGGGGTCGTCGTTTGGTCGTTGTGGGGGTCGGTGGGTCTGCTTGTCGGTCGGTGGTTGTCGGTCTGCCGGTCTGCTAGTCGGCGGTCGGTGGTCGGTCTGCTGGGCTACTGGTCGGCGGTCCTTTGCGGCGTTCGGCCTGTCTGCGGGTCTGCTGGTCGGTCTGCTGGTTGGTCTTCTGGTCGGCGGTCGGTGCGGTCGTCGTTTGGTCGTTCCGGTTGCGTCGCCGTCGTTGTCGAGTTGTACACGTGCTCGTAGAACTCCGCGAAAACGTTCGCGATTTTTTGTCGCGTCGTGCACTTGTTACCCTCTTTGTCTGTCATGTGGGTAATGAGAGTTCGTTTTCTTCGTGGTTTGATACGCGGGATGTTCTTTAAATCTCTGACCCCCCCGGGCCGACGACGAGCGCACCACGGAGCTTTTTCGGCCGCATGAGGGCCTAAAGACGGGCCAAGAAAGCCTTAAGAGGCCTCCAAGACGGTCCACGAGGGCCCCGAAACGCCAAACGAACGCTCAAAGACGCCCAAGATTGCCCCAAAAGGGCCAAGAGACCTCTAAGACGGCCCAAGAGATCCCCAAGAAGCCTCCCAAGAGAGCCTCGATAAGTGAAAATTAATTATTTTCCATTGTGGTTTTCCGATGTGTCTTGCCTTTGCGTCTTTTCGGCTCGCGGGCGCTCCAAGACGGCCCAGGAGGCCCCGAAGACCGCCCCAAGACCGCCCAAGAGGCGCTCAAGGCGGCCCCAAGACGGCCCAAACCCTAGATGGCCTCAAGACGGCCCAAGAGGCCCCCAAGACTGCCCCAGAGGACTCAAAGACAGCACCATGAAGAGCCCCAGAGGGCCACCACAAATCTACAAAATCTAGCTTTCCGCCCCCAGGAACCCCCGGGGGGCACCAAAAAAGAACCCCTGGGGGCCCAAAAAGGCCCCAAGACGGCCCACGAGGACGCCAAAGCAGCCCAAGAAGAGCCCAAAGAAGCCCAAGAGAGCTCGAAGACGAGCCCAGGAGTAGCCCGAACAGCTCCAAAGATGCCCCCCTCAGGCTCCGAAGAGCTCCCAAGAAACCCGACAAGAACCCCAACACGACCGCCAAACGGTTTCGAACCATCTGATCATTGACTTCTATTAAGGGGTCGGCGGATGTGGCGTAAGCCTGAAGAATCTCTGAACTGCTCAAGTACGTTTGTTATATGGGCCCGTCGTCCCGTCCTCTTCTGTGCACGGACCTCTTGCTGTATACGTTAACTCAGCTGCTTGCGGGCGTGGTGGTCGTTATTTGGCGTCTGCTGCCTCGGTGGAGCTCCCCATGGGGCCAAGACGCGTGTGAGGGGCGTGCCGACATGGGCATGCGAAGGGCAAAGGCAGGGAGGGGATGAGGGAGGAGAGGGGCAGGAGTGAGGTGAGGCCGGGCGCTCTCTTCAGAACGATAACCCAACACTACAGGATGGCTGGGA